TAATTATATTTTAAAATAAGATGGTTTTTTTAAAATTTTTATTTATTTATTTATTTATGTGAGTGTGTGTGGCCAGCTCAGCCCACCAGGGGGCAGGGCTAGCTGGCATGTGGTGCTGGGGAATTGAACCGCGGTCCCTGTGATTTGCTAAGCTTGTTCTAAGTAGGTGCTTTAGACCACTGAGCCATCTCACCAGCCCCCTTTCATTTTATTTTTTTGAGACAAGGTTTCACTGTGTAGCCAAGGTTGGTTCCAGCTCCAAGCATTCCCGCTTAAGAGGCACCCTAGCTCATCCCCTGCAGGCAGTGAAGTGAGCTCATGCTTAAGCCAAGGCTTGAAGCAGTAATGAGTCAACAGGCTAAAAGGAGAGAAAAGACTCTGGCTGTGTTGGTAATAGGCGTGTCCAGCATGAAGTCCTCGGGTGAGGATGGTGGGTGTGCGCAAATAGACCAGGGTGGCCACAGCTGTGGATCCGAGGTGGAAGTGCAGGTGGGAAGTGGAGTGAAGCTCCTGAAGGGCACTAGACTTAGACTGGATCCTCACGGCAATGGGAAAGCCACGAGTGCTCTTAACAAGCAAGTTGACAAAATCAGCTTTTTTTTTTTTTGGCAGAACCGGGGATTGAACTCAGACCCTTGCACTTGCCAGGCAAGCGCTTATTCTATTGAGCCATTTCCCCGGCCCTCAGCTTTGTTTTTGACAGTGACTCTGAGCAATAATGGAATGTTATGTGGAAGGCAATGGAAAATCAGATCTTGAGTTTAGATCCCAGGGGTTCTCCTTAGGAGTTTCACAAGTCCTGTTTTCATATTCTTGCACCACAGTTACTTTGCTGGCAAATGAGGTATGAAATGTTCACCTTAGAGAACTGTTTAGGGAATGGGTTAATCTAAGCAAAAGGTTGCGTGGAGCTGTATGTGGGCACATAGTAGGTGCTCAGTAAATAGCAGTTGCTGTGCGTAAGTGGGGAAGTGTTGAGCTGGTTCAGGCTCTTCAGTGAAAGAAGGGAGCTGCACCTTTGGACTTCTCACGAGGCTTCTCCTCCTTGATGGCCTGAGGTCAGAACCCTATCAGGGTCTTTCACATTATTCTGCCCCTAGGGCTATCATTTTCAAAAGAGATAATGTTCATAAAGTGCTTAGCAAAGACCAGGCACACACTAATTGGCTGATGCTGGTAGCTATTATTAAGTTAGAAAATGAAACTAGCTCAGAAAAGAATAACAATTAAGCAATTATCAGTCTGTTATCACCCTAGAGTAAATGAGAAGTCAAAGCTCTTGCTAGGAACAAGTTTTTGATTGGGATAAAGAAGCCTGAAATCTCTGAATGAGAAATGAGAATTTGGGGAACTGAAGGACCACTGGGGAATTTTTCTCAACCCGGTCAAGCCTGGAGAGAAGCAAAAATCTACTCCTAATTTAGCAGGTGCTACAAATTCTAACAGTTTAGGATTTCAGTTTGTGTCTTCCAGTTTGGAGACTGGAGATGAGGCTTTCTTTTCAGTGCCAGGAACCGGAACTCCAGCCAGCCACAGGCGTGGGGGTTGTGGTATCACTCCCTTCCAGCTGCTCTTTTATCCCAGAGGAGCCATGTGAGGCTGTCAGGGACTGTCACGAATTAAGCATCCACAACACGCAAAGCTTTTATTAGAAAGATGAAGAGAAGGAGAAAGAGGAGGAAGGAGATGACTACATGGTAGGCTGTGTGAGGTAGAAAGAACTCCCCTCCCTTTTTGGTGGTACTGGGGAGTGAAGCCACGCCTTCGCTGAGTACTTCCTCCTTCCTCAGTCTATTTACTTATTTTTATTTTGAGACAGGGCTTAGCTAAATCACTAAATTGCCCAGGCTGGATTTGAAATTGGGATCTTCCTGCCTCAGCCTCCCAGAGTTCTGGGATTATAGGTGTATACCACATCAGGCTTCCTTTCAATTTTGCACCTTATTTTGTTTAGTTTTCCTGTTGGTAGACCCTATTGAGCTTCCCCTGGCCTCAGTTTTTATTTTGCATAAGCTAATGAAGGTGGCTAGCCACTCTGTGCTGGATTGCTCTGTGCTGCCTGTGACTCCTTTTCCCCAGTGCTGTGCGTTTTAGGCACCTGCCTGAGTCATGGGAGCGGCAGTGATCTAGGCAGTCCCAGCTTGGGGACAAAGGACCTCATCAACAGGTGTTATTTTAGTCTAGGAGGTTGGAGCAGTCCACTGGCTGACGGCAAAAGGGCACTCCCTCCTGGCAAGGCCTTGCCTTTGGGAAGAATCCATCCACAGAGCCCTCCGTCAAGGCTGCCGATTAGACAGGGCAGGCAGACGGCGTCCCCAGCCAACTGGAGGGGTCGCAAGGTTCTTCCAGATGAAGGTGGAATTCGGAGCCTGGCTTGGTTGTGTCCCTTGCCAGTTGGGTGATATTAGCCCAACCGTTTTCTTGTCCAGGTCTCCGTTAGGAACACCGGGCAACTCATTCTTCCAGTGGAGGGCGTGTGAACATCAAGGGTGTGAACTGTGTCAAGGGCTGCCGAGTTGTGTTATTTGTTGTGTTGACGTCCTCGCGGAGGGCGGTTCTTATCCTCGGTTTCGCTCTCGTTCAGCGGTTCCTTGCACTGGACGGGGGTTTGAAGCCTCACTGTCCCTTGCGCGCAGGTTCCGCAGACCCGAGGCTCAGGGCTATTGTCATTGTTCCTTAAGGCTGGGCCGCAAGGGAGGGCCAGCTGGCCAGTCCTCGGTTTTGGTCTCTCATTCCGCCCCACACCCCTGCCACGGCGAGCCTTAGAAGCCCTTTGGCCGATCTCTTCCGAGGAACCAAGTCAGCGCCAGAGCTTTCCCGAACTGTGGCCGAAGATTTGCCCGAGAGCTTCCGAAGGATTCCGAACACGGGCCGTTTCCGAAAAGAGCCGAAGGGGCTTCCCACCCTCGGTCTGCCGAGCTATTCCGAAAAGTACCGAAGTTTTCCGAGCGGCCGTCCTGCTGGACTGCTGGAGGCGGCCACAGCGCCATGTTGGATGCTCTGCTCGTTGAGTGAAGAAAATCCGCCGGCATCGTCTGAGCCCCGCTACCGAGAAGGGCGCCGCTTCCCCCGGGGAGGGGGATAAAGATCCCCCGCCGCCGGCCCATGAGGATATTGCCGTGAAAGGTCCGGTCTCTCCGCCTCCTGCCCCCGCCGGGTCCGGCCCCCCCCCCGGGGTCGCGTTGTCACGGAGACCGGCAGCCGGTGGTGCTGGCCCGCGGGGCGGCTGCTGCTGCCGGCGACGGCGGCGGCGGCGGCGGCGGCGGAGGGCGTGTGTGACCGGCCCCGGCCCCCTCCTCCTCCTCCTCCCAGCCTCCCCCCGGCCCCCCGCTCCCGCCGCCTCCCCGGGTCTGCCCCCACCCCGCCCCCCCGCTGCCCCCGGCCCCTGCACCCCGGCGCGCCCGGTCCCGCTCTGGGGGGGTTGGTGGCTTCGCTTTGCCATGAGTTTACCGCAGAAACCGGCTCTGAAATCAGGCACAGCGGCTGCAGCAGGAACCGGACCCGGCACCGGAGCGGCGGCGGCGGCGGCGGCGGCGGCGGCGGCAGCG